CTTTTATGCCTCTCAAAATAAATGGGAAGCTGAGGGAAGGAAGTGATCTGCTTACTCACACTTGTCCAGCTGAGACTGCAGCAACTCTAGATGCCTGGTAGCCGTTAGATCAGCTAGTGCAAGAGAAGCCCCCAAAACCTCTCTCACTCTCTAGCCTGTGTGTAAATTCCAAATTCATAGTGAGGAGCTAGAAGATAGGTTTGGGAGTCTGACCTTTTTGTGTCAGCCCTTTAAAAACTGAAGTGTCCATAGCACACCCTAATGCCTTTCAAAGTGCTCACAGGTGGCTTCTCTTTTTCATGGATTTTGCAGGGCAGACCCATGGTTCTTGCTCCTCCCCCTCCAAGGTCTTCCAGCTGATGTTGCTATTACCAGAAACACTTCAGTCTAATGCTTTCAAAGACACTCCTGTATTGAGTTGCAAAAAAGAAAACGAATAAAGTGTCCTAGAAGGTGATCACATGTCCCAGTATTAAGGGCTTTGTCTTACATAGGCAAATATTATTCATCACCCTATCCCACAGAGACCTATTCAAAAAACAAAGAAAACATGGTCATTAAGTCACCAATATCTTCCCTTTTCAAAATGGGAGGTCAAGTAAACAAAGCAATAATATTTTCACCCAGACTCAGTGTTATTTGCAGAACAGGATCATTGCTGAACAAGAGACTTTTCTTTGTCAACAGGATGTTTTTACTACTTTCCTAGATGTACAATACTGAGTTCAGAAGCAGACAGGTATCCACTGGAAAACTAGTGAAAAAAAATCAAGACATACTACCAGAAAAGCTAATTAGAATATACAGGGGGGAAGGACAAGAAACTAAATACAGTTTTGTGGAACTATGATATTCAACAACTAAGGGTACATCTAACATTGCATGGCTATTTTGGGATACAGGTGGCATCCCAAAATAGCTACCCTGTGCCTACACAAGCCACCCGTTATTTCAAAATATTTTTCAAACTAACATTCCATGAGGGCTAAGGGATACCTCAAAATAGCACGTTATTTCAAAATTTGGTGCTGTGTAGATGTGCCAGATTTCAAATTAAGCTATTTTGAAACAGATTCGAAATAATATACGCAATTTGCACTACACAAATTGTGTATCTTATTTCAAGTTTAGGGTGCTGTGTAGATGCACCCTAAAGGACAGAAGTCAACTGAAGTCTTATTGGTGCTAGAAGTGTTTAACAATTCAAGCCCCCTGGTCCATACTAGCTTCAAGTTTACAGAGAGTAGATCTTCACTTGAGCACCAAATCAAGTTTATGGTTAAGATCTCCCGCCTTACTTGTTAAACAAAATTAAATATTATAAATCACTAGAAAGTACAAAGTAACAGTACTAAGCCAATCATTTCAGAGTATATTGTAAGGATGGAAAAAATTCATATCCATTTATACCTTCAACATACAAACTTTCACAGTACCGGAGGAAGAATATTTATTAATTGGAAAAACTTGAAAGTGTATCAAATAAAAGTTAAAGCTATTATTCCTCTTTAAAAAAAAAAGAGTACAAGCTGCAGATTTGATGCAACAATCTGTAATTAGGTATCTGCGAGGTGATGCAAAGGTTTTTGAAAAAGCCTTCCAAAACCCATTGGTAGGCTTACAAATTTACCTGCAGCACTTGCACCCACCTCCATGGATTGCTTCAGTGCTTTGGGAAGTCAGCCTGCACTGGCCCTGGCAGACAAGTTATTTTTTGCCCTTCTACTAGGAAGCCTTTCATTTGTGCATTTCAATGATGAAGTCTCAGCTACCTACCATCAGAATTTAGAGCATGAATGATTGGCAAGTTGAGTCTATGTCCCTAGCCAAACCAGTAACAGAGCACATCAGGTCTGTCAGAGCAGTAACTCAACTCCACTTGCTAAGACTATGTTGTCATTGCAATCAATCCACCAAGGAAAAGAAAGGTCCTCCACCCAGGCACTTCTTGATACAGAATCCTAATGGAGACAAAGCAATGTAGATTATACCTTGATGCAGGAAGCTAAAGTAAACTCAAGGCCTTGTATCCACTATAATTTATATTATGATTGCTACCTAGATGAAAAAAATCCACATACTTTGACGTAAAGACATAGTTTCACTCCCATGGGCTTTCATGCCTGTAGGATCAGGCTCTTTATGAATACAAACTATATTCATCTTTAAACCCTTCTTTTAAGGAGAAGGAATTCTGTGATTAAGGCATTACACTGAGGTTCAGATCTATGTTCAAGTCCTAGCACTGAGACAGACTTCCAGGAAAGTCCTTCAATCTGTACTTAAGGTCCTCATCTTTAAAATGGATACAATACTTCTGTACTTCACAAGGGTGAAGATACATATACAGTAAAAGTCCTTTTAACTAGCACTTCACCAACCAACAAGCTCAATAAACCAGCATTTCTGATCTGCACAGAAAGTCTAGTTTATAGTGCTATCAGTATGGGGCCAACAGTGGGCTGGTGTGTAGGAAGGACTGCAGGGTGCACTTTGGGAGGTAATTTGGGTCCTGGATGGTGCTTGGGGCAGAGATTGGAGCACAGAAGGTGATGGGGCTGCAGATGTGAGAGGGCGCTCACATCCACCAGCCCCCACAAGTAGCTCTCTGTCCTGGCTGTTGTTGACAGAGGCCTGGCTAGGCGGCTCTGCAAAACACAGTGCCTCCAACTTCCCATTTCTGCGTACTGACTCTGCAGCTTCCAGCCCATTGGCCAAGAACTACAGCCAATGGGAGCGGCAGAGCACAGCATCTACAGATGGAGGCAACATGACTCCCGGCCTGCAGAAGAGCTGCCTGGCCACGCCTCTGGTCGGAACAGCAGGGATGGGGAGCCGTTTGCAGGCACCACTAGAGATGGATATCCTCTGACCCAGCATTCTGAGGCCTCATGTACCCCACCTCCCTAACCCAGCCTATGCCCCACAGGTCATCTCCCATCAATCCCACACTCCAAACCCCTTTGTCTTCATTAACCGGCATCTTTAATTTACTGGGGTGCACACACATTCCCCCAGCATGCTGCATAAAATGGCTTTTACTGTATTAATGTTCAAAGCTCCATGTTAGCAGGCAGATAAACACACAGGTAGAAACTATATGGCCTACAGTTATTTCAGATGACCTGTGATAGCAGCTTGCTTACTGACAAGAGCTTTGAAACCCATAGCTATTCAGAAAAAACAAACAAGTTAGGGTAAGATTTGGTTAAAGAATAAGTTACAGGCAGACACACAATTTAGTTTTGAATAAAGGTTTGTTATCTGACAACTAGTTCTTAATTCAGGGTGATCAAAAAATTAGCTCACGTGGAGCCACCTCCTCCATCCCTTTGCTGCCTCCCACAGAGCCGGTTCAAGGGGCAAAGCCCATTGAAAAACCTGCTGCCCACTGGCACCAGCTTCACAGAGCTGCCTTCCCCCCATGCTGCTGCCACTCCCAGAGGCAGCAATGTGGAGGCAGCTGCACGGGGTACAGGGAGCTCCCTGGGAGTGAACTGGCTACCAACCCTGTCACCAGTGACTATAGAATAATTGTGTAACCAATAATATTGGGTGTGGTTACATGATTATTCAATTAAACGATATAGAAAATCCCTAGTTTGTGTTGCAGACTGTACTTTGCAGTGGCTTTGCTGAACGGAGACTTATAGGTGGGAACTTAACTAAAGTTAAATAAAAGTATTTGTTGAAAAGCAAATTATGACAGAGCTGACCCACTAAATTCTGTCTACTATGGTAAGAAAATTGTACTGTAGTTTTGCAAGGTTCTAATTGAGCAAATGCTCCGCACTCTGACATGGAGTAAAAACACTCAAAAGTCACTACAAATATGCCAGTGAAATGCCTACAAAAAGATTACAGAACTATTATGTTAATAAAACATGCACATTAGTCAGAGTCGCTTTAGCACAATGCGTTAAGACTTGAAAATCTTGCATCCATAGAAAGATTAAGAAACATTATAACACACATCTGACAAAGTTTACATAAAAGAAAGAATTCTCCAGGTTAATTCCTATTCTTAGAAAGGCACACCAATTCATAAAGTCATGTTTCTATCTGAAAAAGCATTTTTGTCATCATCACGAGTGATACTTATGATTAGTATATAACTGAAATGTTAAAGAAGTCTTTTCAGTTCTAACCTGCATATGTCCGAAATTTAGCTCCTGAGCTAGCTGATTGTTTTTACTGTATTGCTGTTTTTACTGTATTGCTATTTTCTCCTTTTGTTTGTGTTTTCTCCTGTTTGTTTGTTTGTGTTTTTCATAAAGGTGAGAAAAAATAAACCCACAACTAAAAAACAAAAACATGGGGATAGTATTGTAATTCAGAACTTACACACTAGGTGGGTAACTGGATGCTGAACAGTTTTTGGCAAGTCAGTTATTTTCTGAGACAACTTACATGGAGAATGGCTGTACACAATTTTTTAAAACGTTTTACAAAATGGAACTGCATAGCAGTAAATTAAGGAGTTAAATCTGGTACATTACTGGTTTGTGTAGAACATTAATGTCCTTAATTGTACCTGGCAGAGTACAATTAGTACAGCATTTTTCTTAATCCTTTCACATTTTATCATTAACTTTAAGTTACAATAGAAATTGAAAGACTCACATTCCAACACATTAAAGACATAAGATATCACAGCATAATATAGTAATCAACACAAGCTCTCATTTCAAAAATATTAGAAGTCAGCTAAGCAAGTGACATACTGAATAAGAGTTGAGATATGGCCATGGTGTATTCACCTTTGCTCAAAGATGCAAGGAGAGTAGAAGCAACACTTCTGTATTAGTGAAAAATACAAAATCCTAACAATCTATGGACAGCTCACATTTAAAAAAAAAAAAAAAAAAAAAAAAAAAAACACACACCTATCTACGCCTTCCCAGCACCATACTGATATTACGTCTGACTGGGTCTACTTATCTTTCTAAAATAATTATATGGAAGATTTAGGCAAAACTTAACCACAAAAGAATCAGTGATGAGTTGTATAAAACAAGTAGTTTATTTTGTGACAATATTTATTTAAACAACTTCTAATTTATACGATCATGAATCTACAACACTGACTTTCCACAAATACATATTGTGTTTGAACAGAAGAGCCTCCTGAAATTTAAAAAAGTTCCCATAGGAATGTGTATAACAGAAAATGAGATACATTGAAGTTTCTCTGGGTGTACAGACACTAGCAATACAAGTTTTTCATGCTCTCTGCCATCTTGGAAGAGGAATGCCACCATCATGTTTAGTGTGTTCCATTATTAGTCATGGCTTCTCTGATGTCTTCTCAGTTAAGCAAAGGCTTTGGTTTAGTTGCCCGTTGGTGCTGCACAGGTTTAACATGAACAGCTGTTACAAAAATAAAAATAAAAAGAGTAAGTCTGTTTTCTAAGTTACTGTAAAGAACTTCAGAGGGGTAGATGCATTAGTCTGTAACCGGAAAAACTTAACAATGAATCGTTAAGCCGCCAATTGGTTAGGACTAGCCCTGCCTCTAACTTTCCCACTACTAAGGCATCTGCTCTCAGATTTAAGATCAACTGTTCATACCCTTGAAGTCACATCAGACTCCAGGCTAAAAATCTCAGCCAAAAACCACTTCTTCCACATGTGACTCGTCAGAAGAGATTGCACCCCAACCCTTTGAATATGGCCACAGAGATCAATATATTGATCTTGCTTTATTATTTACATTCCTATACAGGAACAAAACCCACTCCTGAATGAAAAGGCTCTAACACAGGGGTGGGCAAAAGGGCCTCCGCGGGCCAAATCCAGCCCGCCAAGCGGGTTGATCTGGCCCAAGGAGGCCCTGCTGCTTCCCCGCTCCCAGACCTCAGGAAAGAGGCTTCACATGCTCCCCCCAACCTTAGGCCCTGATTGGCCTGGGAAGCGCAAAGCCTCTTCCTGCCCTACCCCCACCCTGTGAGGAGCATGTGGCACTCTGAAGTGCCGTATGCTGCTCGCAGGGCGGGAGGAGACACCACACGCTCCCCCGCCCCCAAGCCCTGATTGGCCTGGGAGCAGGAGAAGAGCGCAAAGAGTACATATTTAAAAGGAATCTCTACTATGGCATCTTTTAAAAGTTTCCACGCGGCTTGTGTAGTGCTTGCTTTTGGCATTATACCTTTTAATTTCTCTTCAACTAACTTCATTTTTGTGTAGCTCCCCTTTCTGAAATTAACATCTACCATGATGGTGGACTTCTGCAGCGTCTTCACTGCTCCCAGAGATGTTAAATTTTTGTGTTATGGTCACTATTACCAAGCAGTTCAGCTATATTGACTTCTTGGATCAGATCATGTGATCCACTTGGTACAAACAAATGGAAACGTTGTATTAAAACACAATCTAATTAGTACCAAGTTTTCCTGATTCTTTGTGTTGCTCTCACACTAATTTGCAATCATATATACAAAACAAACATATTCTTCATTAGCTTTTTAAAGGAAGATCATTGCATTTTTCATTGGAAATGTCAAATAAGTCTTTTAGTTAGGAGAGAAAATCTGGCTGGATAGCATCAGAAAGCTTTTAGCTACAAGTGTTATATAAACTACAGATTTAAACTTTTCCAAAAAAAGCAAAGTGACTGGTCTCAAAATATTAGTGATTCTAAGATTCTACAAAGCTTGCCCATTCTCACCAGGTGTTGGCAAAAGGCCAGGTTTTTCCCCAAGCAGTGGCCGTTTTGCAGGCAGATGCGGAGAGTATCCTAGAAGACCAGGTCTTTTAGCAGGTGCTGCTAGAAGAGGTGGAGGTTTACCCTTTGCACTGGATATCCCTGTTTGGAAATTAGAGGCTTTTTATTTTTAATAAGAACAACATATAATTTCTTTGAGCAAGATACCCACATTTTCTATGTAAACAGATTTTAAATAACAATATCTGATCATAACTTAAAGCAAGGTAAGAATTTGGTTGTGCCAGGAAAATGGGATATGCCTGGAATGGGATTGCTTCTCATAAAACCATACAGAAAAAGACTCACCAGGCATGTACAAAGGGGGTGGCTGGGGGTGTCCCCCCTCCTCTCTGGGACTGTCCCAGCCCTGAAACTCCCATCCCCTACACACCCTTGAGAGAGGTATGGGGAGAGGGGGTCTAAAGCTCCTTCGCCCAGATTTGCTAACTGTTCCCCCTCGTCAGGAGAAGAGCACAGTTTGCTGAATTCCTCACTCTGGATGGGGAGCGCAGGGCATAGGTGAACTGTGGATTAGCTCTTGCCCCCTGAAGGGACAGGACGGGAAAGATGCAGAACACGGGAGGCCTGCCACCCCGTCACCCTCCTTCCCGCCCCACACAGTCACCTCCTCATCCACCAGCCTTGACTCCTGCACCCCTTACACCTCCAGCCTCCTGTCCTGAGCCCCTCCTTAAGGGCCCGAGCAACACCAGATAAGTGTGCTAGTCAAATATATTTGACAAAACCCTAGGCAGACTCAACTTCTTTAACATAGCACTTCAAGACACCAGTTGCAATGCAAATTTGTACCTAGCATCAGGCCTGTGGCTGAAGACTCAGATCATGTACGCATCAAATTATGAATATATAAAAATTCTGTCTAATGCTAACATTAAGCTAACCTGAATTCCCAATAACTGTTAATAAGCACCCCAATTTCAATTTAAAAACAACAAGCATTTAATTTTAAATTAACACAACATAGGCTTACGCAACAGTCTTAAGCATCTAGGGGTACATCTATGCTGCACACTTATATCGGAATTAGCTATTTCAGAAGAAATACTCTGAAATAGCATCTTTTGAAATAGCGCGTCTACATGACAGGGAATCCTTGAAATTAGTCCGAGGCAGGCTCCCCTAATGTGAATTCATTACATTGATTTAGAGCCCCCAGAAGCAGTAGGGAGTAATTACTTTGAATGGCCCTGGGGAGAAGCTATTTTGAAATAGAAGTAGTGGAACGTCCACACTACGGCTATTTCAAAATAATTTCAGAAGAGGTGTTATTCCTCATGGAATGAGGGTTCCAGAACTCAGAACTCGGAAGCCATCCATTATTTCGAATTTCTTTCAAAATAATGGATTTGCTGTATAGACGCTCACATTGTTATTTTGAAATAATGGACATTATTCCAAAATAAGGCTGTTGTACAGACGCACCCTAGGAGAATTCATTGTTGAAAACCTGAACTGCTCTCACTGTCCCAGATGCCCTTTAATATTCTATAAGCTTTTGTAAATTAAATTAATTCTTTCACTAGAGCTTAAC